CTTATAATAAAGGAAAAAAAGACTGTGAGTTTGAAAGTTTTGGGGGTTTTGTTTGTTTTTTGGGGTTTTTTTTTTTTTGCTTGTCTCTGTGTTGTGTCTGTTTATTGCCATGTATTTGAAACAAAACAAGACAAAGATCTGTGCATCTGCCTGGTGGGAGTGGTCAGTGTCTGAATCTGAGAAAAGCAGAGGTGCCAGCGTGTAGTGGTACCAGCAGAACTGGAGCCCTGGAGTTCCCGTAGACATATCTGAAGTTCAGGTGCGCGGCGACACACTCCTGGGGAGGCCCGGTCTCACTGCATGTTCTCTGTGCTGCCACCCCAGCTCCTCAGGAAACCGTGCTGAGATATAAGTGAGAGGGTGTAATATGTTATCGATAACACTGCTTACAGTTATTACCATGGCAATTACTGTGTGTTCAGTATGTGCTTGGTGATAGAACCAGGATGAGCTTTATGCTGTTCTGCTTTAATAAAAGCAAGTGAATCATTTGCAAACACATTTTAAAAAACCTTTTATTAGTAATTGCTTGCTACCCACCTGACAGCTGATGGAGATGCCAGAGAGTCACAGGCCTGGTTGAAAACTGGCTCTGTCAACCTCCAGTGTCCCCAGAGCCCCACTCTCCTGGAGCAATCAGCAGTGCCCAGGGCTCCTGTGAAGACAGAGCTGAATGTCAGACCTCAGCCACACTTCATACAAAGAAAGCCTCCGCGGCTAAGCCAGGGCTGGAGGTGGAGCTGTGAAGCTTTAGGGAAGGGAGGGGCTGGGCAGGCCAGGCGGGAAGCCCCTGGGGACAGGCCCCACCCATTGTGTCCCAGCAGGGGGCGCAGCGGCAGCCCGCACAGGGGCTGTGATCAGGGCCGCACCGACTTCCAGGCTGGCCTTCGCGTCTGCCCAGCAAGTTCAGGTCCGGGGCCTTTGCCTTTTAATTCCTTATGCCTGTGTTGCCCTTGCCCGAGAGTTGTGGTAGTTTTGGAAGGCTCTGTCTCACTCCGTGCAGAACACTGCTCAAGTATCTCCTCCTCAGAGAGCTTTCTTTTCTGGCGCAATCCAAAGAATCGCCTCTTCTCAACTGTCTCCCTCTCCCACTTTATTATCCTCATAGCAACGATCACTATCAGACATTATAGCATCAGTTCTCAACCTTTTTGGTTTGAGGTTTTAGGACCAACGCATGTGCTTAAAAATTACTGAGGACCCCAAAGAGCTTATGTTAATGAGAGTTATACCTTTGAAAATTCACTGTATCCGAAACTTACCTGTTAACATAAATGACTTATGAAAGATAACTTTATTTTCCAAAAGAATTACATGAGAAGAGTGACATTGTTCATATTTTTGTACATGTCTTCTAGTCATAGAAGATAGCTAGATTGTTACATCTGCTTCTGCATTCAATTTGTTATGATATATTATTTGGTTAAAAGCTGATGAAGAATATCCAGCCTCACACAGATGTGTCCCTGGAAAAAGGAGTGCTATTTTAATAGCCTATTTATATAATTTTGGGTATTCTATTTTAATATTTTACCAAGATTCAACAAGTGATCATTTCATAAAGGCTAGTTGTTGCATAGTCCTTGCACCCTGGACATACTTGTGCAAGCCATTCCCAACCTGTGGTCGGATGGCCGCTTTTTATTTAAGGAAAGTTGGTCACTGTCTTTGAAAATTAATGATTTATATAAAGTGGAATAAGAAATGCAAATAATCATTTTCATTATACTATTGAATAACCCTTAAAAAATCACCAAATCTTGAAAGATTACAGAAGCTCCTTTTTCTTTCATATCAAATTTGGTTTTTTTCCTTTTGATTTTCAATTACATGTTACATTCAGTATCATTTTGTATTAGCTTCAGGTATACGGTGTAGTAGTTAGATAATCACATACTTTACAAAGTGTCCCCCCTAGTATTTCCAGTACGCCCTGGCACCATACATAGTATATTCCCTGAGCTATACTTTATTTCCCAGCGACTATTTTGTAACACCAATTTGTACTTCTTAATCCCTTCACCTCTCTTTCCCAGTGCCTCCCAACCCGCCTTCCCTGTGGCAACCATCATTCTGTTCTCAGTATCTATGAGTCCGTTTTAATTTTGTTTGTTTATTTTGTTCTTTAGATTCCACATGTAAGTGAAATCATATGGTATTTGTCTTTTTCTGACTGACTTATTTCACTTAGCATAATACCCCCTAGGTCTATTCATGCTGTTGCATGGTAAGATTTCTTTCTTTTTTATGGTCGAGTAATAGTCCATTGTATATATATTCCGCCACTTTTTTATCCATTCATCTATTGATAGACACTTGGGTTGCTTTCCTATCTTGGCTGTTGTAAATAGCACTGCAATATACATAATGTTTTTTCAAATTAGTGTTTCTGATTTCTTTGGATATAGAGCATACCCAAAAGTGAAATCGCTGAGTCATAAGGCAGTTCCATTTTTTATTTTCTGAAGAATCTCCATACTGTTTTCTGTAGTGGTTATACCAGGCTGCATTCCCACCAACAGTGCACAAGGGTTCCCTTTTCTCCACATCCTCAACTCTTGTTGTTTGTTGATTTATTGATGGTAGCCTTCCTGACAGGTGTGAGGTGATATCTCATTGTGGTTTTCATTTGCATCTCTCTTATGATTAGTGAATTGAGCATCTTTTCATATGTCTATTGGTCATCTGTATTTCCTCTTTGGAGAAGTGTCTATCCAGGTCCTCAGCCCATTTTTTAACTGGATTGTTTGGTTTTTTGGTGCTGAGTTGTATGAATTTTTTATAAATTCTGGCTATTAACCCCTTATCAGATGTATCATTGGTGAATATATTCTTCCATTCAGTAGGTTGTCTTTTTGTTTCATTGATGGTTTCCTTGGCTGTGCAAGAACTTTTTAGTTTAATATAGTCCTATTTGTTTATTTTTTCTTTTGTTTCCCTCGCTCAAATATATTAGAAAAAAATACTGCTAAGTGAGATGTCAGAGATTTTACTGCCTGTTCTTTTCTAGGAGTTTTATGGTTTTGAGTTGTACATTTGCCTTTAATGCATTTTGAGTTTATTTTTGTATATGATGTAAGAAGGTGGGCTAGTTTCATTTTTTTGCATGTATCTGTCCCATTTTCCCAACACCATTTATTGAATAGACTGTCTTTACCTCATTGTATATTCTTGCCTCGTTTGTCAAATACTAATTGACCATAGGTGTCAGTTTATTTCTAAGCTCTCTATTCTGTTACGTTGATCTATATATCTGTTTTTATGCCAGTACCATGATGTTTTGATTAGCATAGCCTTATAGTATAGTTTCAAGTCAGGTAGTGTGATTCCTCCAACTTTGTTCTTCTTTCTCAAAATTGTTGTGGCTCTTTGGGGTCTTTTATGGTTCCATGTAAATTTTTATATTATTTGTTCGAGTTCCATGAAATACACTGTTGGTATTTTGGTAGGAATTGAGTTGAATCTCTAGATTTCTTTGGGTAGTATGGACATTTCAATGATGTTAATTTTTCCTATTCATGAGCACAGTATATGCTTTGATGTATTTGTATCTTCTATTTCTTTCTTCAGTGTCTTATAATTTTTTTAGTATGGGTCTTTTAGCTTCTTGGTTAAATTTATTCGTAGGTATTTTATTATTTTTATGCAATTGTAAATGGGATTGTTTTGTTAGTTTCCCTTTCTGATAGTTCGTTATTGGTTTATTAAAGTGCAACCAATTTCTGAATATTTATTTTGTATCCTGCTACTTTACTAAATTCATTCATCAGTTCTATTAGTTCTCTATATATAGTATCATGTCATCTGCAAATAATTAGTTTTATTTCCTCCTTTCCAATTGGGATGCCTTTTTTTTGTCTTCCACTTGTTTAATTGCTGTGATAGGACATCCAGTACTATGTTGAATAAGAGTGGTAAAAATGGACATTCCTGTCTTCTTCCTGGTTTTAATGGAAACACTTAGTTTTTCCCTGTTAAGTATGATGTTAGCTCTGGGTTTGTCATACATGGTCTTTATCATGTTGAGGTTATATTCCTTCTATTCCCACTTTGCTGAGAGGGTTTATAAATTGGTGCTGAATTTTGTCAAATGCTTTTTCTGTATCTATTGGTAGAATTATATCATTGTTATTCGTTCATTTCATTTATATAGTATATCACATTAATTGATTTACAGATATTGTACCAATTTTCCATCCCAAGAATAAATCCCACTCAGTCATGGTGTGTGATCTTTTTAATGTATTGCTGAATTCAGTTTGCTAATATTTTATTGAAGGTTTTTACATCTTTGTTCATCAGGGATATTGGCCTATAATTTTCTTTCTTTGTAGTGTCTTTATCTGATTTTAGAATTAGGATAACATTGGTTTCAAAAAATGATCTTGGGAGTCTTTTCTCCTCTTGAATTTTTTGAAATAGTTTGAGATAGGTGCTAAGTGTTCTTTGAGTGTTTGGAACAATTCACCTGTGAAACTATCTGGTTCCTGACTTTTGTTTGTTGGGAGTTTTTTTATTACTGCTTTGATTTCACTGGTTATAATCAGTCTGTTCAGATTTTCTGTTTCTTTTTTATTCAGTTTTGAAAGATTACATGTTTTTATAGAAGCTCCTTTTAATCAAACACTAACCTCTCATGTGTATAGAAATTGAAACACTTTTTCCTTGATGTATCCACATCTTTTATTATGACTACTTTTTTGAAGTAGGAAGTGGAAACTTAAGTTAATGGTTTCTAACATAGTATCTTACTAAATATTTATTGATAATATCTAATGTTTGTTAGAGTGCTTTTATTCGTTTTTTTTCCAAATCCTGTTTATGTCCATTAACTTACTTGAATAATTGAGTAAAGTGCCTTTCAAAAATATCTTTAAACCAGTATGGGAATAGAATAAAATATTCCTATACTACTATGTCCAATAAATTAGGCTGCCACTTTATCTGCTTGTTCAGTATGTTTCAACATCACCATTCATAATTTTATGTATCTTTTTAAGATCCGCACAGGTTTACAGCACCAAATAATCTGGGCCTGTCAGCCCAGTTGCGTTCCTCTGGATGAAAAACTCCTGCCCCAGCTCCTGAAAGAAGCAGGCTACACTACCCATATGGTCGGAAAATGGCACCTGGGAATGTACCGGAAAGAATGCCTTCCAACCCGCCGAGGATTTGATACCTACTTTGGTAATGGAAATGCACATGTTTCTTTAACAACTCAGACTGACTGCAGCCATCTCATAAAACACACCCAAGTGTAATCAAATGAAACACTGTAACTGGAAACTTGAACACAGACTGAGTCAGTCAGCAGCACCGTGGGGCCACTGTCTAATGCCACCTCCATTAGCATGGCTCACGGTGGGCAGGACCCCACAGAAGGCAATCACCTCTGTCAGGGTACTAAATGCCACAGTGGAACCTTCAGGAAATTTGCTACCTTCACATCTGAGACCATTGTACTCTTAAATAGCCTCATTACCAAAAGGGGATAGAGAATGATTTTTTTTTTAATTCCAGGCAAAATTCAATACAAGAATATTTCCTTCCATGGGCATTCTTCTCCCCTTCTCTGAGATCTGTTTTTGAAATCACTAGATTGGGGAAGATAGACCTAAAAAATAAAATGGGAAGGAAAGTACAAAAGGTAATAAGAAGGATAATAAAAAATTATAAGTATTTTATGGACTTGATAGCCCTATAAAAGCTAATGTGAAACCTTACATTTGTTTTAAAATGTGCCTTCTTTAAACCTGTTATGAGCTGTGTCTTAATTAACAACCTATTTATTTTGACAGTGGCTATATATCTTTGTCAAGTTCTTTTTCATATTGCACTTTCTGTCTAGGTATTTTGCTACCTACCTCCCTTTTTATATCTTCACTTATTTTCAACTTGCCATAATCAAAAAGGAATACATATTCAATATAAAACATTTACAAATAAATAGAATAAACAATGTGGATGACTAGAAAAAGATGGAGTAATTGTTTTACACCAAATTTTTTTTAAGAAAACACTGCATGGCTGTATGTGGGCTTCACATTCAATCCTGAGATTTGAGAATTTTTATGTCCAAAACAAAAGAAAAAACGGTTGAGTCTATAGGAGTCACATTATTTATAAGATAAATGGAAACCAGATGTTCAGGAAGAGTAAAGCATTTTCTGGCTCCTAGACCTGAGAGAAATTCCTCCTTTGGGAGAAGGTAGGGTGGAGAGCATCCTCAAAGACATTTTAGTAATAAAATGGTGGTTTTCTTCCAGCTGTTCCTCGAGGTATTTTATTTTATTCAAGCTGGGGCCAGAGCACCAAAGTACATTTCAGTAAAAGTGATTATATGGGGCCCAAACAATGCAGTAAAGCAGGTAGCATCCAAACAATGCAGTTGAAGCACGTAGCTCTGTAGCTCTTGTTGCATCCAGCGTTAAAGAACATCAGGCATGAGACCTTGTGTGCCCCATTCCCATCCAGGTTCTCTGGCAGATATCCCTAATGAATTGTGGCGCTCTCTCTCTCTCTCTCTCTCTCTCTCTTTCTCTTTCCATTTTGTTATTTATTGGTTTTAGAGAGAGAAGCATTAATTTGTTGTTCCCCTTATTATGCATTCATTAGTTGCTTCCTGTATGCCCCCTGACTGGGGATTGAACGCACAGCCTTGGTGTATTGGGATGACATTCTAACCAACTGAGCTACCCGGCCAGGTCCTCATGGCATTCTCTCTTGATGACCCTGGATATATCCTGAGTATCCCTAAACAGCTGTTAAAAATAAGGCTTGGTGTTACTTTGGAAATTCTAAAAGAAAAAATAGCCTTTACTTCCTTTGAAAGTTTTCAGACAGGTCTTTGCTAAAATATAGCTCAGGATATATACTGTGGAATAGGAAAACTATGGATACTTATTTAAAAATTTTTTATTAAAAGCCAAGTTTCATGAGGTCTGTCCAGAATAAGTCCAGCCATTGTTAATATAACAAGAACAGTTTGCATGGCATCGATGTAACCTGGCAGCCAAGGAGAGTGGACTGGAATGCATGTGCATGAACAGTGATAACTTCATTCTACTAGCCAGCGGGGATGGTAGCTGCCATTGAGTGAAAATGTGTACTGTGTGGTCATCACATTCAAAATGACTGTGCAAGTTGAGCAAGGAATCTGCATCAAATTTTGCTTTAAGCTTGAACAGTCCTCTGCAGTAACTATTTGGATGATTCAGAAGGCTGCAGCTATAGGCAACTGGTGATTGGCAGCTTCATCACAACTACACCTGCTCATGCATCATGTCTAATGCAGAGTTTTTTGGAAAAACATTAAATCACCCAGGTGACTCAGACCCCCTACAGCCCAGATTTGGCGCCCTGCAGCTTCTGGCTTTTCCCAAAACTAAAATCACCTTTGAAAGGGAAGAGGTTTCAGAACATCAGTGAGATTCAGGAAAGTATAACAAGGCAGTTGATAGCGATTGGGAGAACTGTGCGAGGTTCCAGGGTACCTGTTTTGAAGGACTGAGGTGTCATTGTCCTATGTACAATGTTTCTTGTGTCTTGTATCTTCTTCAATAAATGTCTCTATTTTTCATATCACATGACTGGATACCTTCTGGACAGACCTAGTATATTTAAAAATTCAATTGGACAGAAAATAGAAATGCTGTCCTTTCATGAATGGTAAGATGCCAACCAGGGCGTAGTTGAACAGATAGATACCTCACGTTCATACAGAATGGAGACTTGCAGGTAAGGAAGGCATAATGGCATGCAGCTGCCCTCACTGTTACGGCTTTGATGTTCTGTTAAAATGCTGCCAGATGATTATGAGGCTGTTTGCAAACCTCTGTGAATACACTACAGACTATTAAAATTTACATTTTAAATGGGAGAGTTGAATGGTATGTGAATTATGTCTCAATAATGCTGTTAAGTAGAGCAGTCAGATGTTTTAGCTGTTCAAAAAGTATTTTCTCATTTTCCCCCAAAAGCATAGGCTGCCATTTTCTTTAGGCTTAGCACCTAAGTTCAAATTTGTGAAGAATCACTGTTATGAGAAAAGCTCTATCATTGTCACATGGATACTTGGTATCAGTTTGGTCAAGTATGTGAATAGATAGTTCTATTTCTGGAATCCTCCTATATGTAATCTCTTTTTAATATTTGTGGTTCAAACCTATTTCAATCAAGTATATCCTATGCATATTTTTTACCAAGTGATAAAAAACAGTTTACATTTACAGATAACTAACCAGAAGTGATTTTCTCAGGCTCTAATACCCAGTTGCGTTATTAAAATCCCCAAAAATAGAATCCATGCGTCATGACTCCTCAAAGCACCCATGTAAGAGCTGACATTATTTTTATGGATACATTTGTCTCTCTAGTACATATTAATTAACAAACACATTGGATTTCCCTTTCTGTTATATACGTAGGAGAAAAATGACCATTTAAAATGCTACCTTAAGACCAATATGTTCCAGACCTCTGGCCTAGATGGAGGCATAGGTAGGCACACTTTGCCTCCTCGCACAACCAAAAGGACAACAGCAAATATAAACACAAAAATTAAGAAGAACTGCCAGAAAATCAAACTGTATGGAAGTCCGACAACCAAGAAGTTAAGGAAGAAACATTCATCCAGACTGGTCGGCGGGGTGGAGATGGGCAGTCGGGGCGGAGAGGACACGTGGTAAAACAGCAGCTGGAGGACTGGGCGGTCCCACATTTGCGTGTGGATATACTGGGAGGAACAGCTGGGGAGCGAGACAGACCGTGCAATTCAGGGTTCCAGGGTGGGAAAAGAAAGCCTCAAAACCTCTGGCTATAAAAATTTGTGAGGGATGCAGCAGCAGGAGAAACTCCCAGCTTTATAGGAGAGTTTGTTAGACCCACAGGATCCTAGAACGTACACAAACCCACCCACCCGGGAATCAGCACTAGAAGGGCCCAATTTGCTTGTAGGTAGCATTGGGAAGTGATTGAAAGCCTGACGAGAGCCGGGCAAGTGACTTTGTTCCCTCTTAGACCCCTCCCCCACACATAGTGTCACATGCAGTAACTTGAATTGCCCTGCCCTGGCAAATACCTAAGGCTCTGCTTCTTCCAACTTAGGTGCAATGAGATAAATAAATATGGCCCAAATGAAAGAACAGACCAAAGCTCTAAAAATAGAGCTAAGCTATGAACAGATAGACAACCTATCAGATGCACAGTTCAAAACACTGGTAATCAGGATGCTTACTGAATTGACTTGAGTATGGTCGCAAAATAGAGGAAAAAGCAAAGGCTATGCAAAGTGATATAAAGAAAAATATACAGGGAACCAACAGTAAAAGGAAGGGAACCGGGACTCAAATCAACAATTTTCAGCAGAAGGAAGAGATAAACATTCAAACAGAACAGAATGAAAAAACAAGAATTTGAAAAAACGAGGAGAGGCTGAGGAACCTCTGGGACAACTTTAAACATTCCAACATCCCAATCATAGGGGTGCCAGAAGGAGAAAAGGAAGAGCAAGAATTTGAAAACTTACTTGAAAAAATAATGGAGAACTTCCCCAATCTGGCCAAGGAAATAAACTTCCAGGAGATCCAGGAAGCTAAGAGTCCCAAAGAAGTTGAACCCAAGGAAGCACACACCAAGGCACATCATAATGACATTACCCAAGATTAAAGATAAGGAGGGAATCTGAAAAGCAGCAAGAGAAAAGGAGACAGTTACCTACCAATGAGTTCCCATAAGACTATCAGCTGATTTCTCAAAAGAAACCTTGCAGGCAAGAAGGGGCTGGAAAGAAGTATTCAAAGTCATGAAAGGCAAGGACCTACATCCAAGATTACTCTATCCAGCAAAGCTATCATTTAGAATAAAGTGCTTCCCAGATAAGGTCAAGTTAGAGGAGTTCATCATCACCACGCCCTTATTATATGAAATGTTAAAGGGACTTACCTACAAAAAAGAAGATCAAAAACTATGAACAGTAAAATGATAACAAACTCACAACTATCAACAACTGTACATAAAACAAAAACAAAAACTCAGCAAACAACTAGAGCAGAAACAGAATCACAGAAATGAAGATCAGAGGGAAGGGGAAGCGGGGAGAATGGGGGAAAAGGTACAGGAAATAAGAAGCATAAATAGTAGGTACAAAATAGAGGGAGGTTAAGAATAGTGTAAGAACTGGAGAAGCCAAAGAACTTACATGTATGACCCACGGACATGAACTAGGGCGGGGGGGGGGATGCTGGTGGGTGCAGGGCTGAGGGGCATAAAGGGGAGAAAAAAAGGGACAATTGTAAGAGCATAATCAGTAAAATATATATTAAAAAAATACGTATTTAAAAAAGAATGTGTTCATTGTATTCAGAACTTTGAATTTAGTGAATCATGGAAGAGGGGGATATTAATTAAAAATGAATTGATTTATTGTGTAAACTGTGTAAGGCTTTTAATTGTGATTATAGGACATTCAAACTGGAGAAAGGGCTAGACCAATTTTATCATCCTCATTTTAAGGTTAATAATATTTGTCAGGAGATATCTCAGAGTCCAGAACAACTTATTTCTTTTTAATAGCTTTCAAAGATGTAATTCACATACCATACAATCCACCCAATTAAAGTGTACAATTTAGTGATAATATTTATACATTCCCTGTAATATTTAATACATTCACGAGGTTGAACCGCTGTCATCATAACTGTAGAACGTTTCCATCAGGCCCCGACAGAATCCCCGTCCCCATTAGCAGTCACTCCCTATTTTCCCCCACCCCCGCCAGCCTGAGGCAACCACTAACCTACTTTTTGTCTTGAATAGATTCGTCTATTCTGGACATTTCATATACATGGAATTATACAGTGTGCAGCACACCTTATTTTAATTATTTTAGGAAAATATAAAATGTTTGCAGAAACAAATTATTTGTTGAGGAAACCCATTTTCTACTGTGGTTAGGTCTAAATTGTGGGATAGGCAGTTAATGCCATTGAAATTTGGGTTGAAGCTGAGATCACCATAGAGAGAAAAATCTAATCTTAGCGCTGCATGTTAGTTTGATTGTTTGGCTCTGCAGTGCTTAGAAATCGTCTGTCTGGAAAGGTTTGCATCTCTCACCAGTGGGTGTCAGCATCTGACTAAAGATGATTCCTCCTAGAGCCACTACTGTAAATAACCTTGAAGCCAGTCTCCCAAGGTCAATATAAACACAATTTGATTACTGCATTCATTTATGTGATCACTGCAGAATAAAAACTTGTAACAAATCACATTAACCACACACTATTTTAGCTTTAAAAAATTAAGATGTTATTACCTTTACCGAATTTGAATCCTGATTTTTTAAAAATGTATTTACTTGGAATCACTCGATTTGAAAGTTACATGAGAGAACTTGTGTGCTAAAGACTGGAGGAGTAGATTTGAATTTTTTTTTTTTTTTTTTACAATGACACTTCAATGGCATCTGCTAGAAATATAAAGACATTAAGAAATGGTACTCTGATTAACCTTGTCATCTGATTAGCCTTGTCATGGGTAATCAATTGCATTAGGCAATTAAATGCTGAAACATGAGTTTGTTTAACAAGTTTTATGCCATGCTGACTACTTCTATCTCCCATTCTTGTTACAGGATATCTCCTAGGTAGTGAAGATTACTATTCCCACGAGCGCTGTACATTTATCAACGCTCTAAATGTCACACGATGCGCTCTTGATTTTCGAGATGGTGAAGAAGTTGCAACAGGATATGGGAATATGTATTCAACAAATATATTTACCCAAAGAGCTACAGACCTCATAACTAACCATCCACCAGAAAAGGTAAGTGTTGCCTCTTTGTTGATATCAAGATTGTGTTAAGAGAGTGCGTCCTCAGATGAATATAGGAAGAGACCGCTGTCAAGAGGGGAAAATCTAATGCATTCTAGGGGGATAGTTTTTGAATGTGGACAACAGTGTGGTGTTTGCTGGGTGGAGGGGGTAAAAGGGGACTAAATGGTAATGGAAAAAATACAGTAAAGATTAAATTTAAAAAATGTGTAGAGTACACTAGTGTCAGCCTGGGAAGCTTGTTAAAAATGGAAATCCCTGGAGCCTGCCTCTGATCTTTTATGTCCAAGGGAAATCCATACGTAGGCATTTTAAAGAAACTCCTTAAGGGTGATTCTGATTAAAGTGGTCCCTCCATTACACTTTGAGAAGTACTGTATCTGTAGTGTTTTAGTAGGAATAATAGTTTTTTTTTATTTGGTGTATTATATGCATGTGCTATAAGTAATTAGTAAAGTGACATATTTTAAAATGATAGACTATGTACAAGGTGAGGTTTTATTATGGCAAACTTTCTATTAAGAGATCAGTAAACTTTAGGCTCAGGGCAAGTCCTCTAACTTTGTATTCCTCCCTGACCTTTAAGATAATGTTAGCTATTCTAGGTATTTTGTATCCCATAGATATTTTGTATCCCCTAATTTTAAAATCAGCTGGTCAATTAAAAAAAAAAAAAGTCTGCTTGGATTTAGGTTTCTATAGACCTTGGGAAGAAAAGATGTCTTAAGAATATTGAGTCTTCCAATCCATAAACGTGGCGTACTGATGAGCCTGTTTTTCACATTGACTACCCTGAAGTCTTTATGTATGTCATACACTGATATCTTTTGACTCATCTGTAGGTAAAAATAGAAGAGTTCAAATGGCCTTAAACATTTTTTGTTAACCTAGAGTTAATCTCATGAGCTAAAGTTTCAGCTGAATTTTCTAGATTTAGCTTATAAATGCCTTTAAAATTATTTGTGTTGTCAGATATCAGGCTCAAAATAGAGCTTCACTAAGAACTGCATTAGCATACCCACAAAATTAGGGCCTGGTCATAGCACATTACAGAATGTGCTGGTTCTTCCCATTTCCTGCACTTCACCTCCTTGACAATTCCTGAAGGTCCTCCATGCAGATGACAGTTTGGATTGCAAGTTATGTTCCAGGCAGACATGGCTCCTGGCTGCTGATTGCCTCTTTGGTGCAGTTTCTTTGTGGCTGTCTTTGCTGCCTCTGGCTCAGTGCTGGGGATCTTCCCTGGCGTCTGTCCGCACTTTGAGCTTTTTATCACTCTCACACTCTGACACCTTGGCTCTGCCATGCTTGTTGCTATGGAACCCGGAGGGAATTGGAATATTCTCTCAAATATGTCGACATACACAGTTTTTAAATTTAGGGCTACACCAATATTCAGACAGTTGCAAAAATAACTCCTAGGTAATTGGATTAAATGTTTAGGTTTCCTTCCGTATGCTTGGCATTTTGTAATAAAGTTAAAACCTGAAAAACAAGATAAGGTCTTAACGGAACGATGGACCTCGTCCTGTCCTTGGAGGTAGGTACCATTTTTACCAATAAGCAAACTGGCTTAGTGGAGTTAAATAGTTACTTACTCAAGGTCACAGAGCTATTGAGTATCAGAATCAGATTTTATACCCACACTGTTTGACTCCAGAGCTCAACACACACCCTACTCACAGCTAATATCCAAGGCCAGAGGTTATTAGCCCCCCTGTACATGTCATCCTGACAGTATATTGGGATCATCTGGAAAGCCTGTAAGAAATACCAATTCCAAAGACTGATTGATCGGTCTGGGGTGGAACCCTGTTGTTGGTATTTAATTACCCCTCCACCCCCCACTTCCCACCAGTGATTCTGATGTGCAACCACTATTGACCCCCTTCAAACACAGACTGGAAGCAGAAGTCAATTGCCTTTCTTACAGGTTCACAATATGATCCTGTAACTATAGTATGTGTACAATAAAAATTAGTTCCCATTAAGGAACAATAGAGGATTCTCTCAGAGTGCCCTAACATTAAGTGGCTAAGAGGAAGCAGCTGGGGTGGAATAGTTCTTTGTGGGTGGGCTGCCTTAACTGGTGTAGTACGGAAAGCACAGGAACTGAGGAAAATTGTAGGCCCTGGAGCTCACAAGTCATCCAAATTAGTGTTACTAGTTTGGTGCTGCTGAGATAACATTATGGAAGTTGCCAGATGAGAGGGTGGTCATTTTCCTACTGGTGTCTGAAATATTCTGAAGCAGTGTCCAGCATTCCCAGCATCCTCCAAGTAAAGTTTCAAGCAGAGACGTAATTGAATGAAATAGGCAATATAGCCAAGTAATACCCCAGAAAGCTCATTTAAAATAACAAATGCAGATGTTTACATGTTCAGTTCTGAGTAAAATGATATGTCACCCAGTTCCAGGAGCTGCACTTACCATTTTATCCCAATGCTCAATTTTTTTTTTTTTTGGTCTTTTTTTCACTGAATTTATTGGAGTGACATTGGTTAATAAAATTATATAGGTTTCAGATGGACACTTCTGTAATGCGTCATCTGTCTATTGTGTTGTGTGTTCACCACCCCACGTCAAGGCTCCGTCCACCATCATTTCCCCCCCTTTACTCTCTTCTACCTCCCCCCCCCCTGAACCTTATTCTGCGCTAATTTCGGAAGTGTTACATATGTAGACTGTAACGTAGGCAACTTGTTCAAGGATGGAAATCATTAAAGAAATTCACACAAATCCACAAGCTAAGCTAAAAATGTCCCTATTTTAAAGTGCACTTGAAGGGGGAAAAGCATATGGAGCTATTTTGCAACAGAAGTGCAGTTGGTGCTGGACTCAGGGAGGCTCTGCTAATAACCGTGACACATGTGTTGAGAAGCAATGTCCTTTCTCTTTCCCTACAGGATAATTCCCTTAGTACTAACACTGCAGTGTGAAAATAACATTCATAAAATATCTTTTGGTTAAAAATAGCCCCCCTCAACACTTTGCAGAATAAAAGTGTGTTTTCTCTACACATCTAACCTCCTGAAAGCTTCTTCAAGCAAATACAAATTTCTTGTGGTAGAGCCTTACTTTCCCTGGCACAGTTTGGAAAGGAATGTCTTAATTTGGAAGTCAAAGATAGAATAACAATTTAAAAACATAGCATATGCTTTTTAAATTCATTCTTTAAATTAGGAAAATATACTGAACAAATGAAAATAAGACTTTCTCACAGATTAGTTTCTTGGCATGGTGAGGATATTTAGAGTACACTAATAGACATAAGAAAAGGAAGTGGACCCCTAGCATCTTATTAATATGCTAATAACTTTTAAGTAATAATGTCATACTTTTTATGTAATATTTAAACATTTTGTCACGATTCACACCTAGGTTTCAATTATCCAGTTCCAAGGAACCTGAAAGGGTACAGTTAGGGTTGGAATAAAGGGAGCAGTTGTAACTGAGTTGGTCAGAGCAGGGATCTGGGCCCAAAAAGAGCAAAGAAGAGATCAGGGTGCAGCATAAACCTGGCGATGAGTGAAGATCAGGTCGGGTCCGGGACGTCAGTGGTTTGAGTCAGAATGTCAGTAAGGCCAGAATGTATCCTCAGGCCTCCGCAGGCCAAGGCATAATTGGGTTAGAACACAAGTCAGTAGATAGCGTAGTAATAATGGACTCACCCCCAGGATGGTGGCTGCCTGATTTAGGCCAGCAGAGGCCCCGGCTGGCAGGTGAGGGCAAATTCACGGGGAGGGCCTTAGGACTAGCGGCTGAAGGTGGGGTCCTGATTGCGGTCGGAGAACCTTAGAGCCCTAGTTAATTGTTCTTCCACTGGGCCGCCATGTAATACTAAGAACAGTACTCCATTAAATTTTTTTAAATTTAAAAACAGTATAGAAATGCCTCACATCTAGCACTGTTTGGGAATGAGTTGTTTCATGATTAAAATTCACCTTGTGAGTGCCAAAACCTTATTTTCACAATATTGAATGGAAATACTTTACAATCTGTTGCATTGGTCCTCACCTCCTTACATGGGCTACACTATCCATCATTCTGTCTCCTCCTGGTGACCCAAAGCCATACTGGGTCAGGTAAGGCTGCTTGCCCACACACTAAGTGACCCTAGGTTACTGCTGAGGAGATGGGAAGAAAGAGAGCTTGCTTTGTTCAAGGAATACCTTCCTTAGCTACATTCTTGTAAGTTATTAGGATCTGGTCAGCAAGTCATGCAAAGCCTTTGCATGGCCTGGGACAGTCACAAGACAGGCTGGGCTTCATCCGCAGAGGTTGTTTTCACTTCCTCTTCTCAGTTATGCTCCTTCTCAGAAGCTTGACCACTAGAAAGATGGGCAGTTGCTGTAGTTTTATCATTTTAACCCCTCAAAAGTGACAGTCATGCCCTTAGCCACTAACGAATAATTACTAGAAAGATTTTCAGGAAATTTTTTGCTGTTTAACAAAGTGGTTAGAATAATTTCTACACTGACTATGTATAAGGTCCTGTGGTGATGGCCCCAGACCATCATGTATTCCCCTGGCATGGTTGTAAGAACTCCCCCGTGACTCTCCCTGGCCGTCGCCTCTAGGAATCACTTGCCGAATCACTAGCCTGGGTTGCCATGTTGCTGATAATGACCCGGATTAACACATCTTTTTACGTAGGGGGGTTCCTTTCTCATTCTGCCACCCCGCCCACTGTAGAACCCAGACGAGAGTCACGCGCTCTCATGTTTATAAGGGTCAGGCTGCTTTCCTAAATAAAGCCGCTCAGATGGACAATGGGGAGGCTAGAATGGTGGAGAGCTTTCTTTTTGAGAGTGAGGTCTCTGTTTCTCATACTCCAGCTGTTTGTTTCCAGATGGGGTATGGGTATGGGGTTGTCAGAAGTTCCGATTTTTCAAGAAAATTAAAACAAGACAAAATGAAACAGATTTTTATGTGATATTTTCGGATTTTTAAAACTTTGTGTGCGCTGCAAATTGTTGTGCTTTTCCAGTTTTTAATCCTATCTAGACCTTGGCTGGCGGCTGGGGTTGGCCTCGCCTAGGGCCGAAGACCCAGGCGGGGCTCCCGCCACAGGCCCTCCCTGCCTGTCAGGTCAGTGCGGCCGCTTCACGTCCTTCCCCTCCCAGCATCTCAGCCCAGGGACCTTCTTCGCCACCTGAAGAAGGGGCACCGCGGGGACTCCCTTCACCAGAGTTTGGAGGGACACGAGATTCCGTGTGACTTGTGTGGCTGGAACAGGAAGTGTGTGGTGGAGGGGGAACGGAGACAGAGCTAACGTAGTGTCAAGGCTTTTAATGTTGGCCTTTGGAGTTGGGATGTTTTCCCACAGAAATAATGTACAAATAAAGCACAAGTTCTACATTATCATGGTTTTCATCCCATCACCTACTTTTTTAGTTAAATAGGGGTTTTTTGGTTATTTTTAAGGTTTTATTTACTTTTAGAGAGGGGAAGGGAGAGAGAAAAAGAGGGAGAGAAATAGCAATATGTGGTTGCCTCTTGCATGCCCCTTACTGGGGGACTTGGCCCTCAACCCAGGTATGTGCCCTAGCCTGGGAATCAAACTAGTGGCCCTTTGGTTTACAGGCTGGCACTCAATCCACTGAGCCACACCAGCCAGAGCTAGTTAAATAGGTTTTAGAGAGATGACTTTGATATTCAACAGCTATTTTTATTTAACATTTTGATTTTGGGGAAAAGGTCTTTCTAAGTGCCAAAAATCTGAACTACAAATAACCTTTTGGGTGTCTGTTTGAGTTCTATACGTGTATACTTTGTACTCTATCACAGGGATATAGCATAGATAATTCAAAACAATTTATGAACAATAAAGAATGAAATATGAGACACCCATTCCCAACCTGCTTTCTAACTTTTTCTCATCCATTTATGAAATTTAAATGCCTCAAATACTTTAACAGAATTCTGTATTTATTCTTGGGTTGAACAAGTTGTCTTTTTGAGGGATTTCAACTCATTAAAGAATTCTGTAGAAGCACAAAGAAGAGAGTGCCTTCAAGAGGGTTCATTAAAGGGAGAGGATGACCTGGAACACCACTCACGCCAACTGCTGTAAGTAGGCGGAGGTAAAACAGAACCAATCTGTCACACCCCTTGGTTTTCAGGAATTAAATTGGCCTTACATTTGGTCCTAGATGAAAACTAACAAGGCATGGTGTTCACTTGTTTTCTCATAAAAATATCAAAAATCTCTATCCCTCTCCCTAAAGGATATGAAATTATTTTCCAACTGAAGCAAAAAGTTAAAGCATCTGTTGGTACATATCTACACTAAAATTGTGGGGTTTCTGATAGGAAATCGCTCTCCATTTAATATGAACTCGCAAAGTTGTGTAACCTTTCTAAGGCTCAGTTAACTTATTTGTTAAATGAATGTAACATAGAGTGTTTTTGAGTATTAAATGAAATGGAGTATATAAACTTTATAGTATCTAGCACACAGACATTTAATATAGTTTTTATGATTGATATTATTATTATAATCATTTGTTTGGATCAGAGCCTTCTAAACTATTTTAGAATTCAAGCCTTTATTTTTAATCTTTTATCTTGTGTCTTTTTGTTACAGTTTAACATCTTTATTGAGACATAGTTTACATACCATAAAATTCAGCTATTTAAAGTATACAATTCAATAGTAACTTCAGAGTTATATAACCATCACAATCTAAGTTTAAAACATTTTCATCATCACAAAAAGAAACTTTCCACCTATTAGAAGTAACTCACTATTCTCCCCAACCCCCTACAGCTCCAGGCAACCACTAATCTACGTTCTGTATCCATAGTTATTTGCCTCTCTGGACATTTTATATGAATGGAATCATAATATGTGTGCTCTTTTGTGACTGGCTTTTTTTACTTAGCAGGAGGTTTTCAAGGTTCATCTATGTTGTAGCATATGTTAGTACTTCATTCCTTTTTTATGGCTGATAATATTCCTTCTATTGCTGTATATTGCTGAAAACACACCATTTTGTTTACCTATTCATTAACTGGTGGACATTTGGGTTGTTTCCACTTTTTAACTATAATGGATAATATTGCTATGAACATTCATGTACAAGTTTTTGTGTGGTCATAAGCTTTCATTTTCTAGGAACTGAAATGCTGGGTCATATGGTAATTCTGTTTAACAATTTCAGGAACTGCCAAAATTTTTTAAAACTGGCTGTACCATTTTACATTCATTCTCACCTACAGTTGTTATTTTCCAGTTTTTGTATTCTAACCTCCTAGAGGGTGCGAAGTGGTATCTCAGAATGGTTTTGACTGGCACTTCCTAAATGACTAATGATGTTGAGTATCTTTTCATGTGCTTTGGCCATTTGTATATCTTCTTTGGAAAAATGTTCATTCAAATTCTTTGCCCAAATTTTGTAATTGGGTTAATTGTCTTTTATTGTCGAGTTGTAAGAGTTGTTTAAATGTTCTTGATGCAAGTCCCTTACCAGGTATATGATTTACAAATATTTTAACCTATTTTGTGGGTTATCTTGATGTTACTTTCATTAACTGATAAATCTGGACCTCTTTATATTTATCTTCCATGTCCTCTTGACTAATGCGCACAAATTCTCTTTCCAGCCTCTATTTCTCTACCTTGCTCTCCAGTCTGTCCACGAGCCCCTTCAGGTCCCCGAAGAATACCTGAAACCATATGACTTTATCCAAGATAAGAACAGGCATTACTATGCAGGAATGGTGTCCCTTATGGATGAAGCAGTGGGAAATGTCACCGCAGCCTTAAAAAGCCGTGGGCTCTGGAACAACACAGTGCTCATCTTTTCCACAGGTAAGCCTGTCAATAAGAAAATCATCTCTTGGCAAAGCTTAGGACATGGCATTCGATAAATGGAATGGAGACAAATTGGAGCGCTTAGCAGTTCCTTATTAAAATAGATGCTAACTGCAAGAGTGGAGACATGATCATAATGCATAGAAAGATATGTCTAAGGAAAAAGAATTATGGGCTTCCCCACTTTTCTTCAAATATCAAAATATTCTGGGAGTAGGCTTGAAAACAAGTGCTTTCTGAGAAAGTATAACGCTGGGCAACTGCGCAATGAATCCTTGGACTGGCTTGTCCTCAGCAATCTCTATGGCTAGGCTCTATCAGTGGGACTTTTGCTGACTGCAAGGGATTTCTGTGTCAGTGTAAAGAGACAGATTGTGACATTGTGAAGACAGATAAGAAATGGAGCCATTTAAATCTAGGCTGGCATCTCCAAGTATGGATTTTTTAATGTAAACATTTTATGACAGTCAAAGTTATCCATGTTGATTGTAGAAAAAACAAAGAAAGGAGTCTTATGAAAATTGTTTTTATTATGGTGATGTCATTCTGACTTCTAATCTGTTATATATGTGATTTCCACCCCACTCCCCTCATTAGACATAGTTTTCTGTAATTGCTCTACGATGTACTTTGGGTATAGATCTTGGCTTATTCATTATGCTGAGTACTCAGAAAGTGTTTTCTATCTGAAAATGCAGATCCTTTTCCACGGGAAATTTTCTTGTATTATTTATTTCAGAATTGTTTGGCCCTTTATCCCACCTTTCTTCTATCCTGCCTTTACAAAACTCCTGTTATTTGGATATTGGATTAATCCTCTAACTTACTCATTTTTTACTCTTCTATTTCTTAATTTTTTTCCTTCTATTTGGGGAGGTTTTTTTATTACTATTTTGTAACTGTTCTATTGAAGTCATTGCAACTACAATAGTTTTTAATTATCAAAAATTCCTTCTTGTTTTCCAATAATTCTTTTTTCTGTGAAGTTTTGTAATGGATGTAACAATTTATTTCCCCAAAGCCCGTGCTCTTTAATTTTAATATATATATGTATATATATATCTCATATATAATTGTGTGTGTGTATGTGTGCGTGTGTGTGTACACACATACCTCTATTTTTAAGTTTGTTTATACTTCCAACATTGTCTTTCTTCCTTCCTTCTAAGGTTGTTTGTATCTTTGTTTTGGTCTACCTTTCATGAAGGAGGCTCTCTCAAATCTCTAGTGTTCCTTGGCTAAAACCTGAAAATTTAACTGGGAACCCCACGATGAGGTTGGGGTTTGTAATCTGGTGAGTTTTATGTGAAGTGACTGTGTAAGGGGTGAGACGTGGCCTGTTGAGGAATTAATCTGGTTATTCTACTCCTAGACTTGTTTTGTTTTGCTTTTAATCAGGCATGTCTATTGAATCTAACATTTCTTGTGTGCTTACTAGGTGCAGGGCAGTTCTAAGTGCTTTACAAGAATTAGTTCAGTTAATCCTCACAATAGTCCTCTTGCAGATGTGAGAACTGAAGCACAAAGAGGCTGAGTAACTTGCCCAAGGTCACAGAACCAGACCGAAGCAGGCATCAACCTCCCTGGCTCCACTGCAGTCTCCGGCCTCTGAGGGGATGCAGCTGATGATCTGGGTGTCCTTAATAGACTTCATGGTGTAGCAGAGCCATGCTACAATACTGATCTAGCCAGGAGCCTGGGCAGGGCCAGGGCCGGGGGGCCACTCTGAGCAGCCTTGTTCGGCTGCTTTAGTGCTATACATACGCTATCATTTTCTAAGTATGCCCTGTTTGTGAAAAGTGTTGCTATAAGACAACATTTGTTTTTTCCCCAAAATTTACTCTTCAGAGAAGAGGGAGACATCTTACACACAAGTCCTTACAAGATCTCTCATATTCTGCAAGTGTTTCTCCGTTGGCTTTGTTCTAAACAGCCTGGTAAAGCACATTGATCAGTGTGGGTATCAAAAGCTTGTGGAAATCACTGACTAAAAACAAAAATCAGTAAAAAAGAAGCAAAGAAATTTAATACTGATTGCGTAATTATTCCTGGGAAATGATCTCATGATCATAAGAATTGGAAGTGGTAAGTATATAAAACAAGTCTATGTTGTAGAGACAACAATTATACAATTTAAAGATAAATGATTTCCTGAAAGAAATGTATACATGCATGAATGTATTATATACAGACTCAAAAGTGCTCAGATAGAAGTGAAGATGGTAGCTCTGGGAACCTGTGAACTATCTCAAAGTGGCCCATGTGACAACAGATGTTGATATCAAGTAGGCATGGGAAGAGGTAGAATAAGATTTTTTTATGATGTGTGAAAGTGAGGAAAAAGCTATATTTTAAGATCTTTTATTATATGATTTCAAATGTGTATACATAACTATTTTAAATAGATATTTCACTATTTCCTAAACATCTGTATTATATTTCTTTAAGTCAGCAAAAATAGTTTTGGGAGCTTTTCAATAAGAAAATGGAGATTACCTTATAATAAGGTTGTCTCATATTCTGACACTATGATTTATTAATAGATATATTAGTCTTGGACCATCTTTGCATTGTTGGGTTAAATCCAACCTGATTGTGTATATGCATTTTTATTATTCTGCCAAATTCAATTTGCTAGAGATTTATTTAGGATTTTTGTTATCAATTCAGAAGTGAAAAGTAAGGTTGGTGGCTTTATTCTCTCTGTCAGGTTTTGTTGTCTTGGTTATTCTCACATAATAAAATAACATGGGCCCTGGCCAGTGTGGCTCAGGTGGTTGGAGCATAGTCCAATAAATCTCAAGGTTGTGGGTTCAACTCCTGGTCAGGGCACATGCCTAGGTTGTGGGTTTGGTTGGTTGGGGTGCATACGAGAGACTATCGATAGATGTTTTTCTCTCACATTGGTGTTTCTCTCTGTGTCTCTCTCTTCCCCTCTCTCTAAAATCAATGAGGATGTCCTTGGGTGAAGATTAAAGGAAAATAGTTTGGATGTTTTTTCCATTTTTTCTATGCTCTGGAACAGTTTACGGAATGTTTGAAAGATTTTTCTGGTTAAGCTGGTCCCTGAAACTTTTTTGGAGGATTTTTTTCTTTTAATTATCTCCATAGTTTGGATGTTTTGCTGAATTATATCTAGGTGTGGGTCTTTAAAATATTTTAAAATTAATTTTGCCTGAAATATAGTGAGCCCTTTGATCTGCCTGCTGAGATTACTTTTCACTCCAGGAGGTTTTCCTTGTTCATATTTTAGTTTATTGCTTTTGTTCTGCTTGATTTATTTCTTAAAAATACATTTAATTAGTAGGTTGAATCACTGACTCAGCATTCTCTCATTATTTTCATTTTTTTGTCCTTTTCTTCAGGCTTCTGGAGCTCCTCTACTTTACCAGTTAGACATTTTTACAATTTTAACTCTGTTCTTTCACATCTCCAGTGCATGTTATTATTGATTTTGTTTTTGGTTTCTTTGCCATCCTTTGTTTGCCTCAGTCAGTTTATTTTTCTTCTGAGATTGTTAGTAATAATGATGGCTACTGTTTGATAAATATTTACTCCCTGCCCAAGTCCTGATCTAGTGATTTGCCTGTACTTTCTTATTATTGGTCATGCCAATAAAGTAACCTTGTGGAATAGGTTTTTTTACCCCTATTTTATAAATGAAGAAATCAAAATTAAAGAGTTTAAATGATTTTCCTAAGGCTACTGCTATGGTCTGAATGTTTGTGTTTACCCCAAATTCACATGTTGAGATACTAACATCCAATTTGTTGGTGTTAGAATGTGGGGCCTTTGGGAGGGCTTTGGGTGAAGCCCTCATGAATTATATTAGTGTTTTTATAAAAGAGGCTGCACAGAGATGCCAAACCACCCCTCCACTCCCACATTCCATTTGAGGACACAGCAAGTAGGCATTGGCTATGAACCCAGAAGAGGTCCTCACCAAAAGGTAGCCATGCTGGTCTTGATCTTGGACTTCGCACCCTCTATAACTGTGAGAACTGAATTTCTCTTGTTTATAAGCTAACCAGTCTGTGATATTTTGTTACAGCAGTCCAAATGGACTATGAGTACCACTCATCTAACAGATGGAAGAGCCAGAATTCAAACACAGATCTTGACGTCACTACCTATTAATCCTAATCAGTTGTGCTTTTGCTTTTCATCTTCTGTTCCTTTTCCCTAATCCCATTGTCCTTTTTCTCTACTTTTGGCTTTATACAGTTCTGTTCATTGAACTAATGCTTTTCTGCAATAGAACTTTCCTAAAAACTTTATTTCCATAGTAAATCAGTACCAGCTATATACTCTTACTCTGAATATAGCAGTGAAGGATCTGTCCACACAGTGTGCTTGGTCATCTCTTGGCCTTTGCCTACTGTTCCTTGGTTAATACCTTCTCAGATTTATAGCTTGAGGTCCGGTTGATGCACGCCACTCACAGTGGTGTGAAGGCATCGCGTCTCCTATATTCTACAGAAGCAGATGACCTGCTTTTGGCTCTTCTGGCGACCTGGTCCTCTGTCATGCCAAAACAACTCCAGCAGGCGTGGCTGCCAGATTCTTGCTATTTCCATACCTTCAGGGCTCTGTTTTTGGGGTCACTTCCCAAGATACAGCGTGCCTCCCTGTCAGACTCCTGTCTTCGATTATTTTTTTTCTGAGAGTTGTGATCTCCAACTGCATGTAGAAAGTTGAAGAGGTAATACTTCTCTGGTCATGTCAGAAATTATCACTGGGCCCTGCCAGGCTGCCTTCCTGCCTCTGTTCATGTCAGTGGGGTGACTCTGTGTCATGAAGCAAATGGGGTAGGCCAGCCCTTGTTTCCTTAGTCCAGCTTCTTTAGCCTTACAGCTTATGGAAATTTCTCGAAGATTCTGGTGTGATAGGTTTGTCTGTCAGTCCTGGTCCCTTACCTTGTGACGAGTTTTCATCTTGTTCTGTGTCTTTGTTATTTTAGCAGGGTGTTATTTAAGAGGAGAGGCACTAGTGGCTAT